GACAGGAGTTAGGATGGCGGTGGGGGGGTGGGGTGCAGTCAAAGAATTTGCTTATACACTTAAATTTACGAATAATATTATATTTCAGCATCCCGTTGCATTGAGGCATTATCTTCGTTATTAAAGCACCCGTCTTTTTTATTGCTAGTGGGGTGGGACTAAGTCCCTGTACTGCGGCCACTTCTGGCCTATTGTACCAGCCCCAGATGATAGGTGAGGGTGATTGTGGAGCAATTGGTGGAATGAAGATTGGCAGGGGAAACCGAAGTACTCTGAGAAAACCTGCCCCAGCGCCACTTTGTCCACCACAAATCCCACTTGACCAGACCCGGGATCGAACCCGGGCCGCCGTGGTGGGAAGCCAGCGACTAACCGCTTGAGCTATGGCGCGGCCTAAGCACCCGTCATGCTTATACTTTTGGTGTCTTAATGGAATGTTATGATTTTCAGATCATAAAGTTACACTTTTAGTGAGAAACATATTTTAGATGTCTTTTATATTAAAAAAAATATTGTTGCCTTATTCACAGGATAAATTTGCGAAGTGCAGGACTACATTTACTGAGTACCAAAGCGTTCTGGATATATAATATATTTTAATGCTTCTAATTCTTGATATTACAACCTGACTACCCCCCCCCCCTGTCGCATGCCCATGATGTTATCCCTATTTCATGACGCTGTATCTAACAGCGCTGCTTGAACCTTACACAGTTGTGTTTGCTTGTTCCAGTGACGATGCAGATCTTGTGGTTGATGGTGACTCTGGTGCCCGCCATTTTGGCTGACACACCAGCGAATTGCACTTTTAATGACGTTGCCGGAAAGTGGGTCTTTTATGAGGGGTCCAGAATCCATAATGGGTCAATTGACTGCACAACTATGGGTAAGTTCTGTGCGCCGAAACAATTTTAGCGTCTTGGACTCGAGAAGCACAAAAGACAACGAGGGAACAGACAAGCAGAGCCAGGGGGGCTGAAATTAACTTATAAAGAGAAGTTTAAACTACCAGAAACTAATGTTACTGATCGCATTATGATATTGTCACGTGACTGAGTGACTATAGACGGGGTTTAGATTGGTAATAGGACTTACTGAACACTTACAGAATGCAACGACAAATAATTATGACAGTTTCACTGAGTTTAGACACTCAAAAGATAACTATAACACACAGATAGTCTTCTCAGTCATTAGTCGTTGCTTGGTAGCGGCCTCCAATGGTGGACGTTCCTTTTCCTCTGGGTTCCCGAACATTCTTAACTGGTTCAACTCAAGTTAAAGACAAATTTATGTTACGATCGACAGTCAGTCGGCCAGTTTGTCTTGGTGTCAAGCACTCATCTGGAGCACAAAACCTGGTTTTTAGTACTCTCAGACAGCTTCGGTTTTGTTGATGTGGGGCGCCCTGTCTGACGAGAGGACGGGTCTGTCGTTTACAATTGCTGACTGATCCACTGCAGAAAAGTCTGACTTGCTCTGTAATAACGAGCTCTGTCTTTCACTGCCGTGACAATTCAGCTTTATTCCGAATAAAGCATCAGTTAATGAAACTCAGAATATATTGGATCTCGGGTTCTTACGGCGATGCCTATATTGCTTTCCTGGTTGTTGCGTCGTATATTTCGTCTCCATCTTCAGGGTCGAAGAAGAATGCACCTGTTTCTGTTGTTTTCTTGGTGACTTATTCTTCGAACCTGAAGATGGAGACGAAATTTTTCTTCGGGCGTTCTCCAAACTTCGGGGGTTCGATTCCCGATGAGGTCATTGACTTCTTCAATTTGCCTAACCCTTCCAGCCGCACTATGGTCCTGGGGTTGACTCAGTCTCTGACAGAAATGAGTACCAGGAATCTTCTTGGAGGTAAAAGGCGTCCAGCGCGTAAGGCTGAGAACCTCACCGCCATCTGTGAGCCAATTGTCTAGGGAAAATGTGGGAGCCTCGACGTCTCACAAACCTATGGGCCTCCACGGTCTGTTTCAGGGATAGTTTTAGCTTTTAAACTCTCCAAGTTGCACGGAATTTCAACCCAGAAGACTGTACGCTTGAGAATAAGAGAGTAAGCTGAACTTCTGTGTGCGCAGTATCCGTGGTACGGAAGCTGCGTGTGAACCTGAGGTATCCTAACGTGGCTATCGATGAGTTTGGGAACCGTGGTCAGTGGACAATGATCTACAATGAAGGCTTCGAGGTCACGGTCAACCAAAGGACATACTTCGCATTTTCATATTTCACAAAGGTAACAAGAGGCTGCTGACGTCAGCACTATCTTCTGGGATGTAACGCCGTGTGGTCTGGCACAATCTTGCCGATGTTTCGGAGGAACGTCATGGTCTAAAAGTAAGCTTGGCTTACTCTTCGACTCTGAATATGGTGGCAGTACGTATCCTCCGAAACGTCGATAATCTACGTGACATGTAACTGAACGGTTCTGAGCATGGTAACGGTCGAAGCTTGTTCAGGAGGGAGACCGGGTTACTTGATATCCTGACTGAGGTTTTGCGTGGGTTTCCTCAGTCCCTCCAAGCAACGCTGGGATAGTACCTCAATTAGGCCACGACAGCGTCCTTCCAAATGTTTCCAATTTATGTGCACTATATAGCTCAGATAATGACAGCGGAGTTAAATGGCTTCTCCCACAAGAAATACTCGCGCCGTGACATCCCAGAAGATGTTCCTGTCCATATCGAACCTCACATGTCTCCGGTTATAATGGCGTTATTCCTTTCTGTTTGCTTACTTGCTGCAAGCGTTGCGGCAATACGACATATGTCTTATAGAGAGAAATGATAAAGTTGGCAGTACTTCCAGATTATTCTCTTGAACAGTAAAGTAAGCAAAAAAAGTTGCACTATGCCATGAAGGAGGGGGGGGGGTCACGCGGTAGCGTAGTTGGTTGAGGCGCTATGCTAAAAGCCGGGAGGTCGAACCCCGCTGAGGTCATTGGAATTTTCAATTAACCTAATCCTTTCAGCCGCACTATGGCCCTGGGGTCGACTCAGCCTCTAACAGAAATGAGTACCAGGAATCTTCCTGGGGGTAAAGTGCGGCCGGCGCTTAAGGCTGAAAACCTCACCGCCATCTGTGAGCCGATTGTCTACAGAAAATGTGGGAGCCTCGACGTCTCACAACCCTATGGGCCTCCACGGCCTGTTACAGGGATACCTGGGGGAGTGGATATAGATCCAGGTTTTCTTCACCTCGGCGCTAGATGGAGATGAGTGGTCAGCTTCACGCCTCGGCCGCTTTCTCCCAAGGGAAAGTGCCCCCCGATTCCCATTCGACAGAAGGCTGGAGGGCCCCACTGCAGATCTGGCCTTTGTGGAGAAGAGAAAAAAATTTACTGAGAATCGAAACTCGGCCGTCCAAGATTAGCCTATCCTAACCTAATTGTTACTTACTATTAAGAGAAAGCTAGGAAGCAGAAGAAATTGGGAACTCCATAGCCTACTCTGTATACTGAGCTGTCGTTCTTGACAGAATCACATGAGATGTTAAAACAGGGACATCTGAAAGACACGAACCCACCGTATTCGTATCATACGTGTTGATTACTATGTTATTTCTCCAGGAATCATCAAATATCACCAGCTACTGTGACCGAACATTCCCAGGCTGGTCCCATGACGTCACATTACGTCACTGGGCTTGCTTCCAAGCGCAAAAGCAGAGTCCAGTACCACCAAAAGTGCACTGCAACCCATTCCACGAAATGACCAAGGTATGATGTACTTCTATGTACGTCACAAAACAGCAGAAACACTCATCGATCGTCGATTGTTCTTGTTACCGTCCATTTCCGTTTCAAATCTAGTTACTGTAACAAAATGGCTGGCCCAGCAGGTAAAAGCAGGGGACAAAGCAGTGACTGTTTTTCAAAGCTTTGCAAGGCAAAAGGGTTGTTAGAAGTTCTTTACCAAGTAAAATAATCGGTGCGTTTAGGTTCTCATATATGATTGAGCCTGACTACGTTATCTCGGAAACGAAATAGATTCCTGCTCAGTAGAATTCTGCTGGTAAGTGAACACCAACCAACAATGAAATCCGTCCGACTGGGGAAAGAAGTTTCGAGACAACTGGCAGTTCGCCTTTGGGCCCCTAGCGCCCGTACTGTTACATTATATATGCAGTTTTATTTAGACATATGTGCGCTATAAATGGCTGAAGTATAACCAAAGTCGTTAGCGTTGTTTTTTTTCTTTCGAGAAAATCGCCATGTTGTGCATTGCAACCCACTGGAATGGCCTTGGGGGGCTGGAATATTCATATTCACCGGGCACAGACCTATGATGGAAATACAGCAGCGAACGGAAATATAATCCATTGAATCACTGACGCGCTACTAAGGCGCACAACCATACAGACACGTGGAATCCACATACACACAAAAAACAATACTTTTTTAACTTGGGGAGGGGGGTTGAAAACATTTAAATTCATCATAATCACGAGATCAGTACCTTTACGATTACAGTGCTTCGCTGAATATACTAATTATAAATCAGAAAGCAGGAAAGAACGCCTTGGTCATGTCTGTCTGTCTGTCTTACCTAGTTATAGCAACTTTACAGTTGGTTACATATTTAAACTCGATATAGGAAACTTTCTCTAGAAACTGTGAATAAATTATGATTTTTCACCCTTACCAATCTAAAATACAGCCTGATTTACATAGTCCATAAATGTACTTTACCACATATACATACATACATACACACACATGCACAAATACCGGTGAAATTCAATATGGGAGACTTCTACCAAATGTTGTCGAGTATTTGCAGTTTTCAGCCATACTGACCCATAATAAAGCCCATTGTGTGATAAATCCATAAATGGAAAGTTTTCATTTATCCCATATGCCATTTCACAGATTCTGATAAAATTTGGTATGCGAGACCCCCACTAATTTGCATTTTTGGGCAAGCTTAATGGACTCCAAAGAGTGCCACTGATACTTCTGTGTACTAGATCCCAAACAACAACATTTTCCATCTTGTAGATTCTACAGGGTTCTGATGATGGTGGATGACACACAGAATTACTGGGTTTTGGGACTTTTTCCATCATCCGGAATTATAGGTAACAGAAGACACGACATTTTGGAAACTGGATCTGTTTCCGTCTTCAGGTGGGTAAGGAAGACACCTACTCAGTTGCGCCTCTTAGAAAGAGCTAATCTCAATTACTCTTTCTAAGGGGCCCATCTGAGTAGGTAGTAGATGGAAACAGATCCAGTTTCCGAAACGTCGTGTCTTCTATTACCTAGAATCCTGGACGATGGAAAAAGTTAAAAACCCAGTAATTCTGTATTTCCCATCTTGTTTCTTCATATAAGCATAAGTGTTATGTCAGTTTCTTATCCTGTGTTATGAAAACAGGGCAATGAGTTAGTTTCTCTGGAAAAACTTGAGCAGCTGGTGAACAACATAAACAGGGCACAAACGTCTTGGAGAGCAGAGGTACATCAGCCATTTATTGGGAAGACGCGATATGAAATGCTGAGGATTTGTGGAGGGAAAAGGTACTTCCAAGCTTTGGTTCTTATAGTTGATGTGAACATAAATAATACATGTTTTCTGAGGATGGCTAGCATATGGCGTTCACTCACTCATGGAGCTGAGCCCTTCTTGAGAAACCGCCAATTGTGCAGCTACTCAAGAATTTCCCAGCATTTTATGTAACACGAAGGTTCATTACCATGTTCACAGGAGCCCTCCACTGGTCTCTATCCTGAACCAGATCAATCCGATCCATACCATCCCATCCTATATCTCTAAGATCCATTTTAATATTTTCATTATTTCTGTAACTTCATCAAATGATTGGTAGGTAATCATAATGGAGTCACAGTGTTTCCTGTGAGGTACGAACTGGGTTTCTAAGAATTAGCTTCAGAGGGCAAAGCCTGGACATGCCACATTACATCTTTTAGCTCACGAACAATTCCTTGTATAAATGGCAGTTTTCTATTATGAATATTGCTTTTAAAGATTAGAGTGAGGTATACGACATTCATTTTAGGCATCCTGGCAATGAAAATTACAAAAATGTGTGTACTGGCTTCCTCATACCTGTCAGTCTGGTCATATGGAATGACTTCAAAGCCACTGAATGCATTTTAATAAGATTTGATACCAGGGAGTTTAACTAGAATGTGTTGATGATACATGCCAGTTCGGGTTAAAATCGATCAAAATTAACAAACGCTTTACATGGAGTCATCTGTGCAGTTCTGTATACATCCTGAATACTAACTTTGCATGATGAAACATTTATCAAACAGTAAATGTTTTGGCAAAAAAACTCTACAGAAACGTAAAAATCTTGTGGTTTTCTATTGTAATTACATAATTTGTGCATTCACACTACAATAGTTATGTGTACATTTCCTTAACTGTTAAAACCACAAATTTTATTTTATTGGAATACGAAAGATCTCACACAATGATTTAGTATTTGTTTCACATAAATCTTTGAGCTAACCTTATCAGGCTGTTTCATAACAATTGAATGAGAGAAAACCATAACACAGGTAAGCCTGTTTCTGTGGCAGAAGGTACTGTTACATGTCAACGTCGATTCCTACATGTTCAATTTTGTAAGATTTATGTGTTCAGGTCATGGCTGGCACACCGTGTCTCTCCAGCAAGAGCCAGTGTGGCATTGCAATCAGCAGCGGCAGAATTACCACCGGCTTTTGATTGGCGGAATGTGAGTGGCATCAATTTTGTGTCTCCTGTAAGGTGAGAATCAGACTATTCAGTCAGTTGAAGTCCTCGTTCTAATTGAAAATTAAAATTCTGTATACTTAATAAATAATGAAAATACATACGATGCACGATCAACTTTAGGTCCCCATGGCAGTGACTATGAATAACACAGTTTTCTGGGATATGTCAAGTAGTAAACTTCCACCAGACTCCGAGGAGCCATGCCCCAGAAGATGGTACTCTTCATTAGGTAAGCATTTAGAAGTCTGTGTACTCTGCACTCCAGGTCTTCCTACTATTGTCTTACAGGAACCAGGGTGGGTGTGGCAGTTGTTACGCCTTTTCATCCATGGGTATGCTGGAGTCACGTCTGCGCGTGCAGACTAACAATACTCTTCAGGTGCAATTGTCTCCTCAAGATGTCGTCAGTTGCAGCCAACTGTCACAGGGCTGTGACGGGGGTTTCCCCTTCCTCGTGGCTGGCAAGTATGCCATGGTGAGTACAATGCATGATGTTCAGAAAAATCATTACTCATCTGCAACATTACAAGCTTCTAGGATGCCAAGCCATGCAGTCTGGTACACAGATATTGGTGTTTCGAAGAAACCTGCTGATTCCATATTCATCCACCTACCCTGAAGATGGTGGCCACATTTCTCCAAAACGTTAATATTATGAGTCAGTAAATGGGTCACAAATGGAAGCAAAACAGCTGCAATGGATGTAATAGGTTTCCATTGTGTATCACTAGTTAACAGCACAGTCGAACTTCATGATAGTCTAGGAAGCAGACATGCATGCACAATGTTCAGAAGCTGAGTTCAGTAGTCAAAATGGCAACCGTGCCTGAGGGGTGTACTACCAAAGAGTAGAGTTCTATTGTGCATTTTTTTTTTGTGGGCAGAAGGACTGAACGCAAAGGATATTCATAAAGAAGAGTTTGTCACTTTCCTTGGTGGCAAACGTTTTGCTGATGGCAAAGAGGTTGAAACGGAGGTCTGGAATTGGCTGAGACAACAGCCAAAATACTTCTATGCTGCGGGTTTAGTCACAATGGTAAAGCAATGGGACAACTGTATCAATGTTTGGGGAGGATATGACAAGAAATAAATGTTTTTCCAGGTTCAAATATCACATGTTTTATGTTTTATATTGATCTGTGACCTATTTACTGACTCTCTCTCGTATCAATGCATGGCATGACACCCCAGAAGGCAGTAATCATCATAGTCAACATGATGAGAACCTCAATTCCTACACGGAAAGGTATAATTAAATACTTTCTGTACAGGAATTTGGTGCTGTAGAAGAGAAATGCAACCCATATGTGGGGGGAGGTGGGGCCTGCACTGGACGCACCTGTCTCAAGCACTATACAGCAAGTTATGGATATGTTGGAGGTCTGTGACACCCTGACAGGGGCAACAGATACATTAATTACATTCACCAAATGCATGTTATTATTAAATTCAGCAAATGTTCCTGTCTCATCTTAGTTCCTGACAAAGAGAGGTCCCAAATCTGTGACTCCATGAATCTGTCACCAAGAAAAGCAAAGAGAAGATATGATTCTGTTAGATCTGCCAATGTCTTGCAGTTGGATTTCCAGATGACTTGACATCTGCAACAGGATCTGTCTCTGGACTCATGTGAAATGTGATTCCCTTCACAGGTTATTATGGTGCATGCAATGAAGAGCTGATGAGACTTGAACTGGTGCTCAGAGGGCCCATATCTGTATCATTTGAAGTGTATCCAGACTTTGAGAACTACAAAAGTGGCATTTATCACCACACTGGGCTTGGAGGATTCAATCCTTTTGAGGTAAGGACACATACAAGATAAACACTGAACTCCGTGGCCTCTAGTCCACAAATGAACTATACCAACTGAGTGACTGCCGCTTGTCGGCGAAGTTAGTACCAACTTTAGCAGATAGAGGGTGTTGCATGGTCAGTGCAAAGGATCCCCATGGCCGTTAATTAGTTTTCTAGACTGGAGCCTCTATTTCCTTGAAATATCTCCTCAATTATCCTCATGAGGCTGAGTGGACCCCGTTCCAGACCCACTACTTCTCAGAAAATCTGGTAGCACCAGAAATTGAACCTGGACCTCTGGATCTGTAGCCAGGAACTCTGACCACTAGACCACAGAAGTGTTCATAAGAAACACACTTATTCCATGAAATCTTCATGTGCTAGCTGGTCTCTGTACCAAAATTTGAAGCTAGTACCCCTAGAACACAAAGCAAAGGTGCTACCCACTGAAACTGCATGAGCAGTTGCCTTTCGGGGTGTGTGCACACGAGACAGAGAGGGTTATTTAATGATATTTTCTGTGTTTAGACTATACAGCACTGGACAGTGTTGAAGTGGAAAGGATTTGGAAGGAAACGGCCCTGGCCGGATTGTACTATCCTGACATATGCACGAGGGAAATGAGAAAAACCATGAAGGACCTGTGTCCTGGCCAAGATTCAAACCAAAGACCATCTGAACACAAATCTAGAGCATTACCTCTAGACCAGTGTGTTCAGTGGGATGTGGTACTGTCTAGTTTGTAGATAGGTAAGTGTTTCAGAGGAACCTAGTGCCTCCATCTTCAAGGTATAGAACTGGGGCAGCAGGATCCTTCTGAACATTGTTACCGACCCACCAAACTATAGGAGAGTCAAATCTCAGATGACAGTAACTGGAATCTTTTAGTGTTGAATTTTTATTCCTCTAGCCTCTATTTCCTTGAAATATCTCCTCAATTATCCTCATGAGGCTGAGTGGACCCCGTTCCAGACCCACTACTTCTCAGAAAATCTGGTAGCACCAGAAATTGTATCTACATTGAGTTATTAGTGCTGCTAACTAAACTTTAGATGTACTAACCACCTGCACTCAGCTCCAATTTACCTTCATAATGTGTGCAATTTTCTTTTCTGCAGATAGTAAATCACGCAGTCCTCTTGGTTGGATATGGTGTAAATGAAACAACAGGAGAGAAGTTCTGGATAGTGAAGAACAGTTGGGGTGAAGGCTGGGGAGAGAATGGATTCTTCCGAATACGACGGGGAACAGATGAAGCTGGCATAGAAAGCATAGCAGTACATGTTACACCTATACCTTAGGCTTGTGAAGAGCAGACACATGAATCTTATCTCATTGTCTATGTTCATTTGTTTAGTTACGTGAATATAATGAGGTATGAATCTGGACTTTAAACCTTCAAGGGCAGTGCCTTGAAGCTCTGTTTTGTTTAAACTATGTCCGCTATTTTTCCTACATTTCCAGACACTATTTCATTCTTAGACAACATACTGGAACGTACTAACTAGCTTCATGGAGCTGAGCCCTTCTTGAGAAGCTGCTAATTGTGCAGCTACTCAAGAACTTCCCAGCAATTTATGGAACCTGAAGGTTCATTACAGTGTTCACAACAGCCTTCCACTACTCCCTATCCTGAGCCAGATCAATCCAGTCCACATCACCCCATCCTATTCTCTAAGATCCATTTTAATATTGTCAACCACCTACATCTTGGTCTTCCTAGTGGTGTCTTTCCCTCTAGATGCAGGCCTCTTCACCCCATTCGTGCTACATGCTCTGTTCATCTCAACCTCCTTGAATTTATCATTCTAATTATATTTAGCAAAGAATACAAGTCATGAAGCTCCTCATTATGGAGTTTTCTCGAATCTCCCATAACTTCATCTCTCTTTGGTCCAAATATTCTCAACACCCTCAGTCTATGTTCCTCCCTTGATGTCAGAGACCAAGTTTCACACCTACACAGAACCACAGACAAAATTACAGTTTTGTATATTCTGATTTTTATGTCTTTACATAGCAGACGAGAAGACAAAAGGTTCCGGAGTGAATGGTTGCAAACATTACTCAAATTCAATCTCCTCTTAATTTCCTTGTGAATCAAGTTTTGATTTGTTACTGTCATTGCCAAATATCTGAACTGTGCCACATTTTCAAAACATCACATAGTTATCTTTAGTTTGGAGCACGCGATAGGGTAGTTAGTTGAAGCACTATACTACATGCCAGAAGGTTGCGTGTTCGAGCACCAATGAGGTGGTTTCTTCCACTTCTTCACCTATTAAGAACAAATACGATCCCACATAACACCACCATATTGACAAATTTTTATCTAACAATTAAACGTATTAATGAGCATTAACATAACACCAAGTAGTTACTATAGGATTCTGACGATGGTGTATAACACACTGATATGTTGGGATTTTGGACTTTATCCATCGTCCTGGTTTTTAAGATAACAAATAAAAACACGACGTTTCGGAAACTGGATCTGTTTCCGTCCTCAGGTGAAGGAAAACACCTATTCAGTTGGGTCCCTTAGAAAGAGCTAGCCTCAATCACTGCTTCCAAAACGTCGTGTTTTTATTTGTTATCTTAAAAACCAGGACGATGGATAAAGTCCAAAATCCCAACATATCAACATAACACCAATTTTAACTAAATATAAATTTTATCACCATATTTGAATGATTCAAGACGTTTTAAATCTTTCATGTTTCTAAATTACAAAGTGACCTCCAACACTGCTTCCGCCACAAGATATCACCTTATGACCAAAACATATTAGGGATGAAATAATATCTCATCAGTACAGAGGTAGTAAAAAAAAGTAAAGGTATCCCTGTAACAGGCCATGGATGTCCATAGGGTTTGAGAGACGTTGAGGTTCCCAAATTTTTTAGACAGTCGGCAAGGTTGTCAGCCTTAAGAGGCAGAGGTAAGATAAAGTTATCCCTGTGCTTAACTAATTAAGCACTATGCCATGAAGGCATATGGGGGAGTGGATGTGCAGATCCACATTTCCTTGACCTTGGCACTAGCTGGAGGTGAGTGGTCAGCTTCATGCCGTGACTGCTTTACTCCCGGCACCCATTGTATAGGAGGTTGGGTGGGCCTCAGAGCCAGTCTGAATGACGTGAAGAGAAAATTCTTCACACTACCAGGACTCAAACTCGGACCCCTTGGTCATCTAGCCCATAGCCAGTTGCTATACCAACTGAGCTATCCTGGCTCCTGATTAGTACAGAGGAAAAACTGTAAGCCAGACATACTCTGACAGTGATTTCGAATATTATTTTAATACACAAGGTATTCTGGCAAAATGAACACTACTGAACTAATTTCTTGGGGCTGAGTCCTTGTTAAGAGGCCAAATCATCCTTCCATTCAAATTTTCAAAATTTCACTTGACACAGAGGTTCGTTACAGTGTTCACAACAGCCTGCCACTGGTCCCTATCCCAAGCCAGATGAATCCAGTCTACACCATCCATCTTATTTCTTGAAGATAAATGTAACGTATCCTCCCATCAATGTTTATATCATCCTATTGGTCTCTTTGCTTCAATTTCCTGCAAAAGTTTCATGTACACTTTTGCTCTACGAGTGTCACATGCCCTGCCCATTTCATCTTCCTCAACTTGATCATTCTAGTAGTACTTGGCAATGAGTACCAAGATATTAAGTTCCTCATTATGCAGTTTTCTCTAGCCACTTCATCTCTCTCACATCCACATACTCTCAGCACTTTTTTCTGAAACACCATCACAGTATGTGCAAACTTAACATCTTTATTTCCTATTTTGCCACATCAGATTAATTCTGTCAATAATACAATACAACCTTATCACAGAAGCAAGGGGGAAGGAGTGTGATAGTGTCTCTACTTGATACAAAAATCTGAAATGTAGCTAGAAATAAGTAAATAAATTGTAAGTAAACTAGGTTACTACTAAAACATTTTATTATAAACAAGAGTTCTACTTTCTGGGATATAACGCTGTGTGGTCAACCGAAAGTTAACCTATGTTTCAGAGGAACTTGTCACCTTAATCTTCAGGGTTGAAGAGTAAACCAAGTAAAAGATCATGAAGCAGAGCTCGACTTTCAACTAACTACAAAGCACTATGTCCCAGAACACAGACCTCTTCATAACCGCAGCTGTTAAAACTTAAAATCCTACCTCTATTATACGGTCCACACGACCAATCTGTGAGCTTCACTTGGCTCAGGAACTATAGAGGGGAGGGTGAGAGGGGTTAAACAAATGGATTTTGCACTACCGATCCCACACATCATTAGTCTAAGCGATCAGTGACAGTAGCTCTGTGCCATACCTTGAAGTGATGTGATGTTTTTAGATAAGGCAGTCTTAGACTCTGTGGTTAAAACACATAGTGAGGGTGCAGCTCACAGATTGGTGGCTGCAACTGTAACTAAAACTGCTCATCATCATGTATGGTCCAATATAAAGTAGCTGAAACTTCAACAGTACATCTACAGGATCTGAATTTTGATGCATGTCGGTGAGTTTCCAAATTTTCATGCGACTAACAAAGTTAAAGTCAAGTTAACTAAAAATGCACGTTAGTAATTTTAGATTTTAATGAGATTCAATGTCAATGCTGATTCCATTTCTGGGTTTTTCCACGTTGTGGACGCGGACAGTGTCGCCAGTCTGACCTGCCTGGACGGGTGACTTGCTTTGGGAACACCAACTGCTGATGGTTTTATGGTGTGCTCTGTGACCCTGAGGAGAAGCCATCTCACAACTTTTACCTGTCCACTGTCCCTAGTGCCCCAGACCAGGAATCCCCCTCCCCCCAACTTTTCAGAACTTTAATATTACATTTCCATTCGCTTCACCTTTCAGGTGTTCCCTTTATTGACATGTTCAATTTGCACATGGCTCTAGATACCACCGAGATGGTCTGTATTTTCTTCCCACCAACCGAGGGCACAGAAACATCAGAAATCTCATTCTGTCTGCTGTTGTAGTCTTCACAAAATGGCCGTTTCTTACATTTTTGTCTCAGAGAGCTCATGTAGTGCATTAAAGCCATATTTATAGTTGCCCTGCTTTCCATTTAATACTAATTACATTCTTAGCTACTATAAATGCATTTACATAACGGTGCAATACTTCAACAGGGACCATACAAAACTCTGTTTTAAGCTGTAGTCCTATTAATCTGCAGGACAGCTAACTAACTACACGGAGCTGAGCCCTTCTTGAGAAACCGCCAGTTGCGCAGCCACTCAAGAATTTTCCAGCATTTTATGGAACCTGAAAGTTCATTTTTGTGTTCACAAGAGCCCTACACTGGTCCCTATCATGAGCTAGATGAATCCAGTCCATACCACCCAATCCTCGCCTCAAACATGTGATATATGTAGCATTTTATGATGAAGAAAATTATCTGAGGTTATGTAAGGTTCTTCTGGGAACTGGGCCATACAGAACTTGTTTCAGCTGAGTAACTTTAGAACTTAAACATTTCAGACACAATCTGTATCACTTTGTACACTCTAAGACACTCCTTTCTTCCCTTGCAAGTAACAGATATATACCAAAATACTGTATAGCTCCAAATAATAAAACATCAGTAAAATAATAAGAAACTTAACAAAACATTTGGCAAAACCCCTTATAACATTTCACAAAACGTTCCTTTTCGATGTGTTACTGTGCTTCCCAAACTCTCCACGACGCCCCACTCCAAAAAATCTACGTTCAGTGAATCTTCACATATGTTTTTTTACACATATCTCAGTTTTCATGCTATTTCACAAGCAATTCTTCTCTATACAAATGCAAGGAACTATTGTTAACAATTCATATACCACAAAATATGTGAATAAACACACCACCAAAAATAACATTGTTATAAAAGAAAAGACTAATCGTTGCATCTACTGAACTTCCACCCAAAATATTACACATTTCCAGCAACCTCCATGAAACATTTATCTATTGCATCTGAAATGGGTTTGACAAACCACAGTTTGGAAACTGTGTATTTCAGGCACATTTTGGGAACCTGTTTGAATGTTGACAGAATGTACTGTCTGTTGGGATGTGATGCCGTGTAGTCTGGTATGTATGAGGGGGTACCAAAAAGAAACTGAACTTATTTTTTTTTAAACTTATTTATTCAAATTTTAAGCAGAAACCTTCAATCCCCTTCAAAGTACTCTCCGCTTACACTAATACACTTGTCTAGTCTTTTATTCCATTTTTCAAAACATTGTCTAAATTCATCTTTTGAGATGCTTGACAGTGCCTCCGTCGTTTTTTCC